GGGGTTAAAAGAGGTGACTTCTCAGATCCACTCCAGGTTTGATATTTTTAAAAACATATATTTTTTTTATTGATTTCAGAGAGGAAGGAAGAGGGAGTGAGAGAGAGAAACATCAATGATGAGAGAGAATCACTGATCAGCTGCCTCCTGCACACCCCCTACTGAGGATCAGGATCAAGCCTGCAACCCAGGAATGTGCCCTGACCTGGGAATCGCACCATGACCTCCTGGTTCATAGGTCAACGCTCACCGGCCGGGCAGGTTTGAGATCTGATATTAAAGTGATGTTGATAATAAAATAATAAACCCCAAAATGATATTGTACATCCATGTTCATTAGAAGCATTATTTGTTAATAGCCAAAAGGTGGGAGCGACTCATGTCAATCCACAGATGAGTGGATAAAGAAAATGTTGTATACATGCACAATGGAATATTATTTCAGCTTTAAAAAGGAAGAAAATTCTGTAATATGCTGCAACTGGAATGAACCTTGAGAACATCATGCTAAGTGAAATAAGCCAGTCACAAGAGGGCAGACACTGTATGACTCCCCTCGTATGAGGTACACAGAGTAGTCAAATTCCCAGAGACAGGAAGCAGAACAGAGGATGCCAGGGACTGCAAGGGGGGAATACGGAGACAGTGTGTAATTCGCAGTTTCAGTTTGGGAAAATGAAAACCCTTCTGGGGACTGGTTGCACAACAACGTGCATATACCTAACACTACTGAACTGTCTGCTTAAAGATGATGAAGACGGTAAATTTAAAAATAACAACAGTAGCAGCTGCTACCATTTACCGAGAGCTATCAAGTGGCACCTGTTACACCGGGCCTGGCGATGCATGTCACCTCGCCCATCCCCGACTCCATGACTGGCTTCTGAAGTCCCACACGGAGTCCAGGTGCATTCACACCGAGCTGGTAGAGGTTACAGGGATACAGGCTTTAGCTCAACCCAGAGAAACACTTCCCATGGAGGGCTGTCCCCAGTCCTTTATTTAAAGCCCCACTCGGGCTCCTGGTGGACGGGCAGGGGCTGCCTCACAGGCACTGGGTCCTCTGTCCCTGGCGGTTTTCAAAGTGGAAGCAGGCCACGTATTAAGCCCATGCTTTTCAAGGAGACTGACTACCTGCAAGGATCCTTCCACCTGTCATATGACCTGGGGGCAACATGGACAGAGGTCAAGGACAGTGCGGTTTGCTTTATGGAGAAAGGGAGGCAAGCTGATAAATAGCATTGCAAGAGCAAACTCCCGCCGCTTTAGAAAATAAATCCTTAGTGCTCTTTAGTTATACACTTAGCGTCACGGGATTCAGAGCTGCATGGGCCCCACCTCCATGTGCATCTGGGAAAACCGAGGCCCGGAGGGGGGAGGACTGCAGCCCAGACCGGCACACCCAGCGCAGGCTCACGCCACAGCACAGCGTGCTCTTCCATGGGCCTCACTGCTGTGCTGGTCACAGGTGCTTTCCTATTCTCCAGAGCAGGTCCTTTAAGGGAACAAACTTTCATTTCTTTAAAAATGGGCAATTACTCTGATGGCATTCTGTGCCCACGTGTTTGCTTTCACTGCATTCTGAATCCCTGGTGCCTGATGTGTTGAAAAAGACATCAGACACGTAAACAAACCACACCTCGTGTGTGCAACACCCGGTGGAATCTCGCAGTATGATGAGAGAATCACAGCACAAGAGGTCACGCTGTAGGATTCAATCTGCACGGTATATGGTCCGAAACGGGCTGAATTCGGACGTTAGAGGTCAGGACGGTGGTCATGTTGGGGGACAAAGGGCAGATTAGCACGAGGCATGAAAAGGGCTCTGGGGGGCTGGGAATATTCTTTTTTAAAAAAATCCTTATCCAAGGATATGTTTATTGATTTAAGAGAGGAAGGTAGAGAGAGAGAGAGAGAAAAAACATCAATGTGAGAGAGAATCACCAATCTGTTGCCTCCCACACATGTTCTGACCGGGAATGGAACCCACAACCCAGATATGTGGCTTGACCGGGAATGGAACCCACAGCCTAACCTTGTGGGGTGTGAGACGACACTCGAAACGACAGAGCCACCCGGCCAGGGCAGGAATATTCTGCTCTTAATCTGGGTGCTGGTTACCTGGGTGATTTGGCTTCTGAAATTTAGTGAGCTGTTGACTTACAATAAACAGCATTTTTCCCTCAACGAAGTGTTAAGACAGCAGGGATCGGGATTCCCCAGTTAGGCAACAAACAGGCAAGTTGCTTTGACGCGTCTCTAGAGTTTTAACCGAGTCCCTACCCTGTGACCCAGCACTTCTTTCAATTTATCCTGAGAAAATCCTCTGAAACAAACATGAACTTGTGAAGGCATTTCATCAAAGCGGGTCACACACGAGTAAATACAACTGCACATGCACAAAAAAGGAACAGCAGACACTCCAAGTATCCGGGGGCGTGGGGGGGGGGACCAGCGCTGTGCAGACTGACCTCAGGTACACACGGGAGAGCCTGGGATGCCAACTCCAGACCGTTCGTCCCAGTGGGCTGGGTCACCAGGGCCTTTCCTTTCCTTTCTTTTTCATATTGTGTAAGTTATCTGAGATAAGGAGACATCACTTTTGCAATTTGGAAAGAAATAACAGAAACCTCATTCTGAGGGAAAAATAAAAAAATAACCAACTAACCCACATAGCTGCCCCCCCCGCCCCCCGCCCCGAGAAGGAAATCGGCCCCAGGCTGGGCACAGGGCAGACCCAGGGAAGCACATGCTGCTGTTGCTTCCTGGGGAAAAGGAGGCGGCCTCCTGCCCTCTCCTTGGCGGAGCTGGGGGCCGGGCAGGTCTGTGGCCGGGCAGTGGGAAGCCCCCCTTCCTTTTACTTAGTTCAGGATCCCTGAATGCAAGGTTTTATCCCCCTCAGGTGGAGAAGGGGTTCAGGAAGGTGGGCTATCTCCTCTCAGATCGGGCTCCCCTGGACCAGGCCAGGGCCATACCTATGCTCTGAGCGCTGAGACAATGAAGGGAACCCTCTAATTCAAGTTCTGCCATATCTCTGCCCCCCCAACAAAGGAGATGGGTGGGGTGCTATTGGCAGTATGGGGTGTCCTGGCTCTCGTGGGCAGACAGCTCTCCGGGGTCAGGTTTCCAGCCCTTTATTTAAAGCCCCACTCTGGCTCCTGGTGGACGGGCAGGGGCAGCCGCCGCCTGCGTGACCAGGATGAGGAATTGCAATCCTGACTCGGGCCTGCGTGCCTATGGCAACTGGCGTCGTGGCCTTGGAGACTAATCTCCAGGTGGCCAGCCAGCAGGGGCCTCTCCGGGAGGGTGCTGCTCCCAGCCGAGGCCCTGGGCTGGGGAACGGGACCACCTCCTCTCCCCACTGAAGACGGGGCTCCTGGCCAGGCTCAAAACACACACATTCCCACAGCCACAGCCCAGCCGCCCTCCCTCCCACCTCACGGTCACACATGTGGGGACATGGCCACACAGACACACACCGCAACACCATCACACGTCATCCTACACAGCACGGGGACAGACAGCAGGTCTGCCCTTGACAGAGTCCCAGGCTGGGAGGAGATAGGGCAATTAGGTTATGAGAAAAAGAAGATTAAAGCACAGTGTGACACATGTTGATTGGAGGGGTGGTTACATGGGTGTATACACAGGTTAAAAAAATCATCATGCTGGACACTCCAGGCTAATGGATTTTACTGTAAGTAAATTATACGTCTGTCAAAGACAAAAAAAATAAGTTACACGCAAGAAGCACAGGACAGGTGGGAACGTCAGGGGAGGCTCCTTGGCGGAGGTGACACCCAGGCTGAGTGGACTGTGATGTCATGGGGGAGAAGTTTGCAGGGGAGGAGCAGGGCCAGGGAACTGTGCCCAAACATTGCTCATCTATAATGGGATGACTGCCCCGCCCCCTGCAGGGCCCACCTCCCTAGAAGTAAATGCTGAGCAAATGCGTCAGGCCCCGTTCGAAGGAGTGCCAAATGACTGGCTGCCCCGTGGGGCTCAGGCAGGTTGGTGAATGGGGTGGGTCACTGGGTCTGGCTAGGCATGGCTCAAATGTTCAGGGCAGGGCAGGGCAGGAAGCGGTGGGCAAAGAGACGGGCTGTCACCAGGGCTACGCCAGGGACCTCGGAAGATTATCATTCAGGGGACAAGAACGACCAAAAGGGTTGGAGCAGGGGCAAGACGGTCACTTTAAGGGGTTCTGGCAGAATATGACAAACTACAGGGGCGGGGAACTGGTCCTTATCAAGCTTCTGCAATAGTCTGGGCCGGAGATGGTCAGGTCTGAGGCTGATGCTGGGAGCGGCCTGAAGAAGAGCAGAGCGTTATGATGGAGTGGAGAGGGGAGTCCTAAGGAGGGGTTTCTGGCTCCAATGATGGAGTGGATGATGTGTCCCGGGCCATCTGTAACCTGTGGGTGTCAGAGGCTGGAGGTGTGTGTGTGGTGGGGGGATGACTCTGGGCAGCTGAGGACTAGGGAGAGTTGAAGAGTCAGGGGAGGGGAGAAGGATGGGTGCTAGAGATGGGAGTCCGGAGGTCAGGAACCTAGAGGAACCCAAGGGCTGGGGAGACAGACGAGTGAGCAGGGGAGCTGTGCAGAGGCTGAGGAGTGGGAAGGGGTGGAGGCTATGGGATCTGGGGGAGAAAGGAGGTAGAGAAAGAAGTGGGGTATAGAGGGCTCACAAAGGCTTCATTCTTTATGAGGAGGAAACACGAACCAATGGGGTGGATGGGGAGATAGTCTCTCAGCGGGAGGCCGGCTCCCAGATGGGTCCCAAGGCCTCTGGATTCAGGACAGGCCCAAGAGCTGAGCCAAGAGCCCCTGCGCCCAGGCCTTCTGCCAGGACACCAAAGGGTCCCCACGGATAGCTCATTCCACTGGTGAGGTGTGTGCAGGACGGCAGAGGCTGTAGCCAGAGGCCACCCTGGGCAGGTGCGGGAGGCAGTGGTCCACCAGCCTCCATAGAGATGTGTGCACCCGGGGGCAGGGATCTGCACGGCTGTGCCCAGCACCAGGTCAAGCAGTCCACACACACTTGCTGGGCGGATGAGCGAACAGCTAAAGTGAACTGGAGGTCTGAAGCGGGGGAGGTGCAAAACGCGTAGCCAACCATGACGTCCTTGGCATCAAGGCCCTCCCTGGCACGTCCAAGTCCACCACACCCACATCTGGCCAGCCTGGGGAGGGGGAAGCACCTGGGTGTCGGGGTCAACCAAAGCTGGGTCGTGTCCCCACCTGGCTGTCAGCAGCTGGTGGCTCCCACGGAGGCACATGAGCGCTGCATGCCTGTTTCCTCGTGGGCAAAATGGTGCCACCAATTCTGCTGCTGGACTGTGAAGAGCCCTGGGGCTCACGCGTGAAGCGTCTGGCACGGGGCCTGGAGGTCATGAGCGCCCTTTAAAGCAACGGCAGCGATGACTGCTTGGCGCTGACATCACCTGCTGAGCTTCTGTCCTCCCCAGTGAGCTCACTGCGTCTCCTCAACTCCAGTGTCCTGACTGGCAGCACAATGACACTGCTGTTCGCCCACATGCGGGGGATCTGGGTGGGGAAAAGCAGGCCTGGCATTCAGCTGGGCGCAGGGGACCCTGGCACCCCCTCCACCCCCCAGTTCTGGGTGATCCTCAGCAGCTCACCAGCACAGTGTAAATATGTGCTGATTCTTAAGCATCTGCAGTGCTTGGGGGCTGGGTGTCAGGAGATGGTAGGAAGCAGCCAGCGCTGGGGTGGTGCCAAGCCCTGGGGTGATCGTGTCCCCAGAGAGCCCCCTTGCCAGGCAGAAACAGGCCTCAGAAGGATGAGCAATGTAGATGAGGTAGCATCAGGCCCTTTCTTGTCAGGAAGAGGCTGGGCAGAGCAGGGCTCGTCCCTCGTGGGTGATCTAATCCTAGCAACGGGGCCCTCCACACTCCTGAGCTGGCCTGCTCCCTGTCCTCCTGTGGGCTTCTACGCAACCCAGTGCCCACCTCTGGGCAGCTAGGGGTGGGGAGCAGGGGTCCTAGGGACAGCTGTGCCCTGCTGTGGACGAGGGGTAAGGAGACCTGGCTTCTAACTCCAGGTACCACTCCACCGTCTGGGCAACGTCCCTCTCTGGGCCTGTTTCCCACTCTGTACATCAGAACCTGGGCTAGAAGTTCTGTGAGGGTGTTCCCCTTGCCAGAGGGTGAGGGCTTCACACAGGGGCCAGGCTTCCTCTCCGGGGGCACAGTGCGGTCCACGGCGGGCTTCCTAGAGGCATCGTGGGCCCTGACAGCCAGAAGGGACCCTAAAGGTATGGAGCTGTCATTCTGAGCCAAAAGTGGGGCTACACTGCCAAGATCATGGGCCCTCAGGGATGTTGGGGTGGGTTACGGAGACAGCAGGGGGAATTCCAGGAGCTGGTAGCCCTCCGAGCAGGCCCCAGGCTCCAGGCTGCCCAGTCTGTCCTCCTCATGTGCAGCAGTGGACATGGAGCCAAGAAACGGGAACAAGTTTTCATGCCCCCAAAGAACCCCCCTTTGAAGCCGGGGGGAGAGAAAGACACTGCTCTTCCAGAGTTCCGTCCCTCAGAGGTGCAGGTCAGTGGGGAGGGGTCACAGGCCCTGCCCCTGGCATCCTCATGCCCCCACCATGGGCTCTGAGGACCAGCTTACAGAGTGAGAACCCTCCTCACGGGGCTGCCGTAGCTCCAAACCGGCTCCCCAAGGTGGTGGGCAGCAGTGGGCACTTGGACACAAGCCAGCTCCAACACCGGGCCTGCCCCCTCCCACACCCATTTTCACTGAAGTCTTAAGAGCTCTTGGCAGCAGCAGGACTGTGGACGCAGCCCACACGGGCAGTGACTCAACACCAACACCAGAATAAACCTGGGGCCTGCATCACCGAGCCTGGGTTCAACCCTCCTAGGGGGTCACCACCCAAGATACCCATTGGCCCCATCCTGGTCTTCTTAGGTACTTCCTACAGTGAGGGCATCAGTCCCTGGCAGACCCTGACGACTGTGCCTGCTGGGATGTAGCCGGACAGTAAAGAGGTGGTAGGGATACCCAAGGTTACAGCATGGGTTCCCCGGGACCGACATCCATGCCCCTTCTCTCCTGCCTGCCCCAAGGGGCCATCAGCCATTCCAGACTCAGCACCTGCCCCCTCCTGCCTCCAGGCAACATCTGAGCACCCCGTCCCACTGTGAACGCTCAGCTCATTCGGGGTTTTGGAGGCCCCGGTCACGCTCACTTCCCTGCTTTTCCCATCTACCAGCTGACTGTCACGATGCTCCGTCTCCTGAGGGAGGCAGGCAGGGGAGGCTCAGTGGCACCTGCAGGAGGGCAAGGAGACGTGGATCAAGAGTCACACGGCGTAGCTTTTGGATCTCGATTCTTTTAACTCCGGAAACTTAGGTGTCTTCCCAGCCCCGGGCCTCAGTTTCCCCATTTGAGAAGGAAGAGGTCAGCCCATTCTGAGGTTCCTTCCAGATCTAATAGTTCATGGCCCCAAATCACATGGCACACCCCCTCCAGGAGGCTCAGGAACAGGGGAGGGAGAAGGGTGTCTGAGGAAGATGGCAGGAGGCCCCGCGGTAGCT